ATCAAAGAAAAATCTCATAACATGCCTGACAACGTCATTCCCTATTCTATTTATTCTTCTCTCTCTCCTCTAACAGACTTGTTAGCCACTTTCCTAATTTACCCCTCTTGTCCTTCTAGAATAGACATGTACAATTTTGGGCCTTTTGTTATTAGATACCAATAAGTCAGCATTTGTATCATTACTCCCCCCCTTCTAAAACAGTCTTGTCCTCAAGACTTGCATCAGAAAATTGATTACGAATGGTCACCGCATCTTCCCAAGTAGCCTCATCCTTCGATTGTCGTGCCCACTGAATCAACCATTGTTCCACCGGTTCCTGGAAGGCATTACCAGAACGTCTTGCTAAAACTGCTGCTGGAGTTAACATATCAGTTGTACTCAACTCTAATTCTGGTGGCAAAATCTGTTCGACCGGCACCGAAACGGCTTTCTTGAGAAGAGACACGTGGAACACCGGATGAATCTTAGAGGTGGGGGGCAAATCCAGTTTATAAGCCACTGGACCTAATTTACCCACAATCTTAAAAGGTCCAAAAAACTTGGCTGAAAGTTTTGGGTAAATGCGACTTACAACAGAGGTCTGGCGATAAGGTTTTAGCTTAACATACACCCATTCTCCAATGGAAAAATTAACATCCTTTTGTTTTTTATCAGCCTGTTCCTTCATTGCCGACTGAGCCTGTAATAGGTGTTGCTTCAACTGCTTTAAGGCTTCATCACGATCCTGTAACTCTTGGGCAACCGTTTGAACCCGAACTTCGCGTGGAATAAAATGAATAACTGACGGAGGTTTCCGCCCATACACAATTTCAAACGGTGTTATTCCGGTAGAACCATGAAACGTCGAATTATACCAAAATTCAGCCCAAGGAATCCACACCGACCAATTACGAGGCTGATCCATGGCGAAACAACGTAAATACGTTTCCAAACATCGATTAATTACCTCCGTTTGGCATCCGTCTCCGGATGGTAAGCCGAACTCATATGTAGCTCTATGCCATGAGCTTGAAAATTTTCTTGCCAGAATCGGCTAATAAACAAAGGGTCACAATCACTGATTATTGACTTCGGAATCCCGTGATGACGCACCACCTCTTTAACGAAAATCTCAGCAACAAGTTTGGCGGTGTACGAATGTTTGAGCAACACAAAATGGCTATATTTTGACAGCCTATCGACCACCACCAAAACAACGTCGTACCCTTTGGATTTTGGTAGACCCAAAATAAAATCCATAGATAGATGTTCCCAAATTGCTTCGGGAATGTCCAACGGCTGCAAAAGACCACCAGGGCTGTCGCACTCGTCTTGCAACGTTGACACATATCACACTCCCGTACGAACTTCTTGACATCCTTTAACATTCCCGGCCAATAAAGATTTGCAGCTAACCTTCGATAGGTACGATAGTACCCCGAATGCCCTCCCGATGCAGAGTTGTGAAACTCACGTAACAACGCAGGAATAAATTTGGAGGTACGAGCTATGGTCAAGCGGTTTTTGTAATACAAAACTCCCTGTCGAACCGTGTATCCGGAAGGAACATTAGAACCATCCAAACAAGCTTGAACAATAGATTGAATTTTGGCATCTGCTTTAGCTTCATCCACCATTTTAGCACCTTGTAACCATAAAGGTTTTGAAACAATAGTCAGCAACTCTCCTGAATCTGCCTTACGCGATAACGCATCAGCAGCGCGATTTTCCCAACCATGCTTATAAAAAATTTCGAAGTTGTAACCGAGCAACTTAGCTACCCAATTTTGCTGGTCCGGAGTGGTGATCCGCTGCTGTAATAGGAACTTTAAACTTTTCTGATCGGTATAAACCACAAATGTGGTTCCCAACAAATATGAACGCCAATGTTGCACCGCTAAAACCAAGGCCATAATCTCCCTTTCTTATGCTGATTTGGCCGATTCCGTTCGCTTAACGCCTTACTATAATAGGCAATGGGTTTCCCTTGTTGCATCAAAACCGCTCTGATACCTCGTCCCGATGCATCACATTACACAACAAAGGGAAGGGTAAAATCAGGCAATGCCAAAACTGGAGCCGAAACTAACGCGTGTTTTAAGGCATCGAACACCTGTTGAGCTCCCGCATGCCAAATAAAGGCATCTTTCTTTGTCAAATCGGTCAAAGGACGAGCGATACTCCCATAATGTTTCACAAATTTCCGGTAGTAACCGGTGAGACCAAGAAACCCTTGGAGCTCTTTAATTTGTTTTGGAACAGGCCACTCCATCACTGCTGCAACTTTGTTTGGATCCATAGACACCCCCTCTCCAGAAATTATGTGACCCAGATATTCCACCGAGGTTTGACCGAAATAACATTTCTTTTGGTTCACCACGAACTGATTCTGCAATAAAACATTCAAGGCTAGTTGTAAATCCTCAAGATGAGCCTCCCCACTCGCACTATAAATCAGAATATCATCAAAAAATATGACTACTTTCCGTCGTAACAGGGGCCGAAAGATATCGTTCATAACGGCTTGGAAAGTAGGAGCGTTCATGAGTCCAAACAGCATTAGCAAATATTCATAATGCCCATCATGCGTACGAAACGCTGTTTTCTCAATGCTGTCAGCTTGCATTCGAATCTGATTATACCCCGATTTCAAATCCAACTTGGAAAAAAATCGAGCTCCATGTAATTCATCTAAGAGTTCCTCCACCATGGGAATAGGAAACTTGTCAGGAATCGTGGCTTTATTAAGAGCTCTATAATCTACGCACATTCGCCAAGTTTGATCTTTTTTACGAACCAAGATTACGGGACTAGAAAAAGCACTTTTACTTGGGCGAATCATCCCCAAGGATAATAGTTCCTAAACTTGTCTCTCAATCTCGGCTTTCTGAGCATGAGGATAACGGTATGGACGCACACAAATGGGTTCATTAGGTTTCATAAGCACGATGTTATGATCATGAGAATGAGTAGGGGGAAGCTTAGACAAAGCTTGAAAGACACTACTACAGCTATCCAAAACCTTCTGTAGGGAATTCTGTTGAGACAGAGATAACTCAACAGGTGCCCGAGCCATAAAAAAAGATTGAGAGAGTTTACCAGAGTGAACATGATCAGGACAAGATAACCATTGTTGAAAAGCAACCTGCTGATGCGATGAAGTAGCCCCTTGAAGAGTGACCCACTCTCTGTTGTGAAGAAAACGCATCCAAGATTTCTGCCAATTGTGAGTGACCTCACCTAACGATTGCAACCATTCCATTCCCAACACCATATCTAGATCACCGGTGTCAAAAACTAAAGCATTAATAAGGAACGAGCAAGTACCCAACGAAACAGCGATATTGCAACATTGTTGAGTAGTTAAAACCTTGTAACCATCTCCCAGCTGAATGCGAACTCCATCAAAGGAGGTGATAGGCAACCCCAACGAGTGAACCAATTTGGGCGAGACAAAGTTGTGAGTGGCGCCACTGTCAACTAAAACCACCAACGAAATGTTAACAAGGATGCCTTCGAGCTTCAACGTTTTCCCCCAGAGATCGAAGTATGAGCCCCAAAAAATTCTAACACCGAACAAGAACCCTGAGGAATATCAGTTAATTCAGGCCCTTCATCAGCCTGAAGACACTCCAATCGGCATTGTGTGCCCTCATCCTCATCATACTCATCATCGCCCAGAAGTAGAACACGTAACTTGCCCTCTGGACATTTGTGGCCCGGACCGAACTGTTGTCCAGATCTGAAACACAGGCCCTTTTTCCGTCTCTTCTCCCACTCCGTATGTGTAAGAGAACGAACACCTCGATCACGGTGAAAAGTGTGTGAAACATCAAATGGGCCCGCTCCTGAATGGCGAGTAAGGTTAGAAGAACGATTGGGATCAACACGAACAAGCCCAGTTCCAGATTTAGGGGAAATTAACCCACGAGTCACTACGATCCAACAAACGATCCAATGAAGACACACTCGCCGGTCCACCTTGTTGGTAACGGAAACGAAATTGAGAAATTCCTCCTGAGGACGGCCTTAGCATCTCCTCCACATCCTTGGCCAAATACATAGCATCCAAGCGAGGGAACAGACGATGCAGACGAACCCATCGTTTTACCTCATCACGGAGGCCAGCCACAAAATAACCCAGCGCCGGTAAACGTGGAACCAATGACAACAAATACTCAAAATCATCGATATAGTCATGAATCGATGAGGTCTGTTTAATGGTTGCTAATTGTTCATAAGGGTTTTGAATTTCTAACCCACTAAACCTCTGTAAAAGTTCTAATTGAAATTGCTCCCATGTCAACGATTCATGAACTTGTTGAACAATTGTAAACCAGTGTTGAGCAACACCCCCCATGCTTAATTGAGCCAACCGAATACGTAAATGAGAAGAAGTACCGTTAATGTCGAAATACAACTTARCTTTCTGGAGCCACCCTTGAGGATCAAACCCGTAAAACTCAGGTAGCTTGACCTTCTTCACCGCCCACGGCAGCCCAACGTTAGCTGTAGGGGGCGTATGATCACCATCCACACACCCAGCAGCCACCCCCGTATTGAAAAACGTGGTCGACGACTGATGTCCCAACCCGGATCGACCACTCGAATCGAAATTAGGATGTTGTGTGCCCTGCTGTTTCATCCAATTCAACACGATCGTACGAAATTCCCCAGATTCGATTCGATCAGCCTCCAAAGCTTGGAGAGGCAATTTGATATCAGCAACATCAGATTGAAGTCGCTGAATATGCTCCTCATGTTGCTCAATGCGATTTTGAATGGAACGAGTCTCCATGAAACCTGAAGCAGATACAGAGAAAGAAACAGTCGACAGCAGGTCGTCGGCAGGTCGGACCAGTGATGAAGAACATAAAATAGAATAATAATAACAGTAGATGAAATGGGGAAGGAATAGGGAACTTGTATTAATGGAGAAATAAGAACCAACAATTCCAGGGAAAACTCCNATCAAAGAAAAATCTCATAACATGCCTGACAACGTCATTCCCTATTCTATTTATTCTTCTCTCTCTCCTCTAACAGACTTGTTAGC